TACAAATTAAAGAAAAAGATTGATGTCAAATTCAGGATTTTACAATCCTTTCATCAAAGTTACTGGTCATTTTGTTAAAAATTTTCGATCAGATCCGATTTCGTTAGTACCACCTTGATGGGGCGTAAATTAAACGGTCCCACCCAGCAGTGGCAGCAGTGGCGATGGTGATCGGCAATACGCGCAGAATATGAAAGATGAGAAAAGTAGACGTCGAAAAGAAGAAGGGGCGAAACCGATGACGTGGGCAAAAGGGATAAGCAGAAGCGATTTGTCCGGACACAGATACCATCGCATATTTCCGACTGGACCGTCTGCTCCCCACCCCTCTCTCCCCCACCACAATACTCGGATAGCCGGAGCCAGCCACGCTCGCTCCTCTCTGCTCTGACGCGCCCTTTCGGCCATACTAGGTCAGCATTCTTTCGGCCGCTCCTCTCTCTATCTCTCTTCCCCTTCTCTTTCTGACACGTACTCTGGCACAATCCTCCTCATAGAATCGTGTCATCCGGGTGCATGCCCCCTTGTCCTTACCTCCTGTTGTTGGCCGTCCTTCTACAACCGCTAAGATCCCCCCCCCCCTTTTCCGTCGGTTTTCCGCACAGCCCCGAGGCCTTTTTCATCAAACTTTAGAGCATTCACAAGGGAGGGAGAGGGAGAGAGCACGAGAGAGAAAGAGAGGAGGGAGCGCGTTTTGGGTTGAAGGGAGGCGCAAAGGGGACGAGCGCCGGGCGCGACTTCCAATTTAATGTTGTAAATACTTCAGCAGATGCCTTTTTGAATTTTTATGAATAGCTTTCGGATTATTGGCTCAATTTGCGCGTCTGCCTGGGCCTGGCCCTGGCTTGGGTCAGTCGCCAGTCGAGGGGGAGAAAAAGGGGAGGTTGGTCGGGGGATGTCGTTTCGTTTGGGGGCCACCGCCGACTACATAGGGAGGGCTCCGATTATGGCGAGGTAACCTTCGCGGGCAATCGAGGGGAGGCCAAAAGGGGGAGGGGGGAACGGGGCGATGAAAAGATTAAGGGTGTGCCGACTGCATTCCATTGATGATTCCTCATTTGAGGAAGTCACCCGTGAAAAGACCCTATAGCCGCCTCCGCCGCCCTTCTCGGAGTTGAAGGCGAGTAGGTTCATCATTGCTGGCGCCTCGCCTTCTCCCCCCCCCTCTCTCTCCCTGCAGTGCTAACGAAGTGTGCTTAATGTCGGTCGCCGGCGGTCCTCATCCGTCCTTACGGTCCGGAAAAGTATATCCTGCGGACCGTCGAGTCGGGGAGCCAGCCAGAAGGAAATAAGTATCCTCTCTTATATAGCTTCCTGCCGACCCCCCTCCCCCTCTCTGCTCGAAGCTACAGCCGGCCAACGCAGCGCGGAGGTAAGAGGACCTCTCCGGGAGAGGTAAAGGACGGGGAGTGGAGTGGAGGTTGGGGAGCCAGTCGCCCGCTTTCAATACCGACGGCATGAGAGAGTTCGTTGAGACGCGCGTGGGCCGGGTCGTGACGGAGCAACACCATGCTGATGGCGCCGCTAGCTAAAATTGAAAGGAGGGAAGGAGTGTGAGAGGGGGTCAGAGAGAGAGAGAGAGGGATAGAGAGAGACGAGTAGCAAAAAGAGGGATGGGCGACTGACTCCTCAAGTAAAATGATGCTTGCGTTCCCCTCCGTCCTCCGTCTCTCTCTCTCTCTCTCCGAAACGTCGTCGCACTTGACCTCGTTCTCCGTTGCCACTCGGGCCCTCACTATTTAAGCTGCTGGAGTGACGGCGCGCGGCTGTGTTTTCAAAGCGCAGTAGCAGCGCGGTGGCGCGGGAGTTTTGAAGACGAAATTGAAAGAAAGCTGCGCCGACACGCCACCGGCGAGGGACGTTGACGAGGGCGGGGCGTAGCGGGGCGTGGCGTGGCGGGGCGTGGTGTGGCGGGGCGTGGCGTGGCGGCCGGTGTAAATCAACAGGGGCGCTCCCCACCCCGCCGCACCGGTGGCCCCGTGGGACCCAGAGATAAGGACGGAGGTGGCGGGGGCGGCGCCATGCCCTGCCCGGCCAGCGGCAGAGTCGTTCCGGGGGCGCCCCAGCTCAATACAAATTGAAAAGGCAAAAACGGTCAGGTCGCTCCCCGGTTGTGAAACTCGCAGCGGCGGCAGGGACCTGGCTGGCATATCTTATCAGCCCGGTGGGTGGGCGGCCTTCGCGGCGGCGGCCGCGCCGGCCCGGGCTACGCTATACGGAACGGCCGGCCGGGTGAACGCGCTGTGTGAAGCCGACCCGCAATTATTGAACCACTTTTACTTGTGCGACCATCGAGTAAGTAGGCCGGCCTTCCATTCGACGTCACGATGCTACTACCAATACCAGCCGATGCAAGCTCCTTGTAGCGCCTGGTGCGTAGGCTACATCTCGCCTATAGTGCAGGCGTGTGCTGCGGGCTGGCCTACCCCGAGTCTGGCAGGCGCCAAGCTCCCGCGTTATTCGCGAATCTGTAATTAAAATCGTCCGCACTTTCTGGACGATCACTCGCCAGACAGAGTTGCAGTTCTCGTACGAAGTGTTTTTAATTCAGGCAGACGATGTTTTCGTTAGAGTAAAATTATTTTAGCTTCCGCCGCCGCCTTATGAACTTATATTTTTTGTAGAGGATGAGGCGAGATGAGGTCGGATTGAAGTAAAAACTCAGTGTTTACACCCTTCGCCGCAGGTACTGCAGTGTCATCCTGCAGGGGGGGGTGGGGGGAGGTGCAAGGGCTGCAGTGCCGTGTGGTGTTATTTCTGCAAACATCCGCGCGCGGCGCCGCCTATAACATCCGCAGGATTCCCCCTGCCGGAGCGGCGGCCCGGCGGCGGAGCCAGCCGCCAAAGTGTTTGGATAACCTCTAAAGAGTCTTTAAGGCACACGCGGGCTTGATGTGCGGTCTCCGCCGTGTTGTTGTAGCAGGGCCGCCAGGACCAGGCGCACCTCTCATGCAAACTCAGACCCCCGACTGGAACCCCCCTCCTCCCCGTCTACCTCATTTCCCCCTGGGTCCCTCTCCCTGCCCGCTCCTGGCACGCTGCTGTCAGTGCAATAGACTTGGCAGCGGTGGCAGCAGCCTCCTGCCATCACCAAGCTCAGCGGCGAGAACTACCCGCCTCCGTCACCGCGGTCTTTATGAGTGAATGGCAACGAGGGTATTTACAAATCAGCGTCAGTAGCTGATTACGTAATTGGTCGAGGGGGAAATCCATCGAAATTATTACGTTCGAACACGTTAGTATACCCTACTTGTATCGTTATTTTTCATCATTTATAAAATTATTTAAAAAAAACCATGTCATTTCAGCATTATGAGGCTTGATTTCTGCCATTGGAACGCTTCCTTGCGCTGTTAGTACGAGTTAGTGCGTAAGTGATTTCCCCCTCGTAAACGGTAGGTCGTGTGTCGCGGGGTGAAATCGGGTTCGTGGGTAACACATTGAACGTAGAACAGTATGAATGTAAAATTTGAATATGATATTTATTTCTTATCACCATCATTAATGAGTCCATTGAACGGCTCGGTTCGTCGTAAGGCCATACAGAATAGCAGTAAACAAATTGATCCAAACATTAACATGCTGTACTCATTGACGCTGTGTCAGCCGACCGTTGAGTCCATAATATTAGAATAAGATAACAAAAATTATAGATCGAAAAGATCACAAAATTTAAGCGGTCATTCGCCAAATTTTTATCTCTCACTTCACCAACCGACGATTTTCTTAGTACATAAATCAACCTCTGGTCTCTTAATTGTAACTCACCGGTCCCATATAAAATTTCAATAATTGTATCGCGGTCTCCGACCCCTTTGTAAACTCAAATACACCAACCACATCCCAAACGTTGTTTCCCTATCTGCTCGAGCGAACAAAACATACGAGACTAGGATATACAAGAGTAAAGTTCCATTCCCGCATTATGGGGAAAAATGTAAGAGCAGCAAAATGCAATCACAGAGATCACCTTTATTGGTGTTTGTAACCACCGTTTTGTCAGTCAATAAGTAACAAACGGAAAGAGTCTGTGACACGTCTGCTTGTTAACAATCTTTTCGGAACAGCACAATCTTCCAGAACATGACTTGCGGACAGACCCACTATAGACCATCGTCCAAAGAATCGATGGCCCCAAACGTAGCAGGTGACTCAAGACCGGCCTCCGGGCGACCAGCGGCATGGTGTTGGCTCCAGCTCCGGGCACGCTCAGAAACACGGCCACGTAAATTCCTGGGGGACACAGGCAAAAGGAAGGCAAAGTTACTAGGGTTGTTCGGTGTCGGTTTTTTCAGCGAGGATTCGAGGAGATTCGAGGAGATTCGAGGAGATTCGAGGAGATTCGAGGAGATTCGAGGAGATTCGAGGAGATTCGAGAGGATTCGAGAGGATTCGAGAGGATTCGAGAGGATTCGAGAGGATTCGAGGATTTCTTACCTGGCCTCAGCATATCCTGACGAGCGGCATCAGCACGACGAGGAAGGCCGTCCAGAGCACCGGCTGCACCCGCGGGTCCGCGGCCGCTGCGGAAACAGGGGGTGGTTAGCATTGGGGGGGGGGGCACGATATCGGGCGTTGTGGCGTGGCCGGTAGACCACAGGGAGGAGTAGCGGGAGAGACCCGCCCAGCAACACTTCTGCTCTCCCTTCTGCAGCTCAGAACTCTCCCCAACTTCCACACAAGTCGTTTGGTTTTATCTTGACGGCATAGCGGTGGGGTGGATTTCTCCCGCCTGCTGCTCAAGCCTGTGCCTGTGCGGTTCTTGTAAACGCAAAGCGTACGGCAGGGCCACCACAAAACCGCGCCTCAGACAAAGCAGATCCAAAAAGGAGAGGGAGGGGCACACTGAACGTGAGCAAATGCGTAATGTACTCACCACTCAGGAACCCCATGCTCCCTGAAACACACGGAAAGAAAATAGACCAGATTAGTGCCAAGGCAGCAACAAAGTATTTATTCTATTTACACCATAGTTGACAGGCGAGAATCAAGTCAAAGGACAAAAATAAGGGCCCAGCAAATGGAAAGGCCCTCGACGACAGACCGCGCGACAGTGTGGACTATCAGACGTAAACTACACTCATACCCTGCTCCCCGAAACCAATACTTCTCCAGGCCATCTCTCTAGAAAAATCTTAGCGCTGGAGGCTCCGGAGCACGTCCGTAAGGAACACAGCAGCGAGGAGTCCAATCGTGTGAACGGAAGGAACGGATTTCGGGAGGAAAGGGCGTAACTAACACGAGGAGAAGACAAATAAGGAACAGGAGTAGGGGGCAGACTGCGAGGGATGGGGCAGCAGCAGCAGCCACGGCAGCAGCAGCTGGGGTTCAAGGACCTGCTCGAGAGCTCCTCGTGCTGCCGCTGGACGTGCGAGCACCGAGATTATTGTGAGAGGAGTCGGGAATGGGGAATGGGGAACAGAGAGAGAGAGGGGGGGGGAGAGAACAGGGGGAGGATTGGGGGACCATCAGACGCCAGGCGAGACACAGCTGCCGGTGCCCCAGCCGGCTCCGAGATAAAATTTGAGCTCGTTTTAAGCCGATCGAAAGAAGAAGCCCCTTCGATCACAAGTCAAACTCAGTTCCCTTGCCTGCTGCTTGCCCGAGCTGAATAAGCCGAAGGCTCAAGCAGCCGACAGGGAAGCCCCGTCCGCTGTTCCGAACATTTCGGTCCCAATTACGAACCGGTGGTTTGTACCAAGATTTTTTTGTTTGTTTGCCGGGCCAGGCGGCTTGCACCAGGGATTACCTCTCACTTAAAAAAATTGGGCTTGTAATTAGGGTCTGGTACCGTGGGTTTGTACCAAAGGGTTAGTAAGAACAGAGTGATTGAACCAGGGGTTTGTTCCGTTGGTCTGTGATAGCGTTCGGTACTGCATGCAACGCATATTGACTGCCGTGTTGGGGTCGGCTGGGGGGCTGAGGGAAAAGGTGTGGGGGTGTAGGGCACTGTGTGTTAGAATATAAGGGCGTCTGATGCAAGACGGGCTCTTCCGACGTCCGAGGCCAGACAGGACGCTTGTTCAGCCGAGCGCCTAGTAGGTATGCAACCCAACTCGCATCTTTTCGCGGCTAGTGGCGGGTCTTAGGGTGTACCCCGATGAGGTAGGCAACTTGTTTGAGCATGTTAGGAGAAGGGCCTAAGTGAGTGTCATGGCTACTTGAGGGTCGCGTAGCAAGATGTGTTCATGATCTCCGTATAGGTAGGCAACACCTTGTACACCTAGACTACACCGGTGGTGGAAGGGCATAAGTGCGAGGAGGGGAGGCGGGGGAGTTAAAAGAGTGGGAAAGGGGCAGGAGGTCAGAATGAACGAAGAGGTGGCCGAGTGCGAAAGGAGTGAATCGCGCGTAT